GCAGAGCTGGGCTGTGCTGTCCCAGCCGGAGAACGGGGCAGAAAAGCGGAACGCCGCTTCGCCCAGCTGCGTGTCACGTCTAAACTCTTCTGGCCCGGCAGCTGCTGCCCGTCGAGCCCTCTGCTGCAGGGTCAGTGGGGCACAAACAGCGCGGGAAGCAGCATGGGGGCAACTGAGGAGGTTTGATAAATGCAGGGTAGATAATTCCTTTGCTCTGACTTGTTTCTCCTTCCTAAAAATAGTGGAGGATAAGTGAGCGGGGACATCCTCTTTTGGAGAGGGTTGAAGATGTCCAGAGGCAGAATCCAGGCTCCCTTCCTTTTCAGAGGAGGGGGAAGAAATCAGCCCCTGTACCTGCGCAGGGCTGCCTGCCTTGCACCATGTTCTTAGAGCTCCCTTTCTTGCATGAGCTCTCTCCACTGTTTCCCTGTGCCCACCCTCAAAACGTCTGAAGTTTCAGGCAGCCAACAGTAGCCTTGAATGGGAAGCCTTCTTCTGTGGCTGGGAGCTGGGCATCAGCAGCCTCTCAAGAGCCAAGAGAGATGTCTGGAGTATCAAATGAGCTGAAAAATCTGCAAAAGCATGCAGCTTGGCCTAATGGTAGATAGGAAAAGCTGTTACTGTAGTTCTTACCTTGGAAAAAAGCTCCAAGTAATGCAAATCAGGCTGGATATTTCAAGCCTATTAATTCTGAAAATGGTGAATAACCAAGGCTTACTAAGGAACCAGAGCTCTCAGCAGTTGTGGGAATTCAGCTGAATAAATTTCCCTGGGAAAAGATGCAATGCAGATGAAACTGGCCCAAGTAAGAGAGAAGAATTGGAGGCTGCATTAATTTAAAGGAGGAAATGACCTATATAAAGTGTGCATGAATTAAAAACTCAGGTAAACCAGGTAGAGATGAGCAGAACAGTGGCAGCAGACAGGTGGATCTGCTGTCTCTGTCGTAGAGCTGCCCTGGAGCTGGAAGGGGGCTGAAGGAGGCAATGCAGGAGTTAGCTGGTGGGTGTGTTGGGAAGCAGGCCTTGGCTCATGTGCTCTAAATAAACAGATGCCATTTCTGAATGGAGGCTGTGAAAGCCTGCTCAGAGCTGCTCTGTTGGCGTTGCAGGGTGGGGAGTTAAAGCACTGAGTTGGAGAGCATAGCTCCTGCTTTTTCTTGGCACAAGGACAGCAATCAAATATTGGAGCTGGCTGCGTGTGGTTTTGGCAGCCAGAGCACTGCTGCATCACGTGGCCAGTGGCCACTGCTACTGCTGCTGGCTTGCCTTGCCCTGTGTGGTGGGAGCAGCTTTGGAGCCTGGTCTGCAGCCAAACAGGAGATTTTTATTAAGGGAATACTCTGTATTTAAGGTTAGCTGCAACGCAGTTGACTTCAGAGGGATGTGTGTGATAGATCTGTCCAGCAGTTTATCCAGAGCCAGGCCAAAGAAACCCTGCCTGAAGCATCCAGCCTAATCTCAGTGTGAGGGCAGCAGCCAGAGGTCTGGTGTTCTGGGAGCTGCCTGGCTACAGAGGCAATTCCAGGGCTGCATCTGGGTGGGAGCTGCCCTAGAGTGGGTGTGCAGAGAGGGGTGGTACTGTGTCCCAGGAGGAGGAGATGCTGTGGTTGAAGGGCACCTGGCCTGCACCTTCCAGGAAAGGGTTTGTTTCTAAAGGCTCAGTCAGCTTTGAGTAGGTGAGTTTTGTTTGGCAGAGCCCTGTGGCTCTGCAGATATTTCCCAGGGGCTCAATGCAAGCGCTTTGGAGGCTGGAGGCAAAACCTGCTGGGCCATCTGAGTTGTCATCTGCTTTAAAGTGCAGTAGAGGGAAGAAAGAGGCTCCTCTGTAGGTGTGGAGTGATGTCAGTTAAGCCTCTACCCTGCTGCTGTATCAGACCATTGCTATCTTTACAATACCACCTGCAGGTAAAAAAACTTGCATCTAAAAAGATGGAGCAGTTCTTGGAGACATTGAGCAAAGTATATAGCTAAACCAAGTGAGCTTCGAGCTTTTAGCCTCTGAAAAATGCCAGACATTTGGGGTTTTATGAAAGAGGAGGTCAATTTCCTACAGCAGCTTGTGATAAACTGAATTCCTGCTCCTAAAAAAGCATCTGATGCCCTGGGGAAGGTCTCTCCTGGAGAAGGAGGAGAGCGCAGCAGGAATGTAGCATCAAAATTTTATAATCTGCAGGGTTTGTGGACATGAGCAGGACTGAGGTGTTGGCTTTGCTTTGGGTCAGAAATGCTCTGGAGCCTGCTCTTGCTAGTTTAGTAGGGCAGTGCCTCTGTGTGTCTTCAAATGGTGACTCTGTTGGTGCAATGATTCAGAGAGATCTTGTTCAAGGGCACACCAGGCTCTGCTCCTGACACTGCTGTAGCACGTTTCTCACTGTGACTGTAAATTACCCTGTGGAAGTACTTGCCTTTAAGCTTGAGGGGCGTGTGGGGGTTGATAGAAGCAAGTTTCTTTGGGATGGCTGGGGGAGGGGGGGAAGTGGCATAGCAGTAGTCAGACTAAAATGCTGACCCTTCTTTTTCTCTTCCAGAGTGTTAGATTATTTCCCTCACAAGCAAGCAATGGCTGTGGATGTAGCAATGCAGCTGTACCTCTGCTCTTCACCCTTGCGAAGAGAGAAGTGTGCCTGCAAAATCGCCCCGAAGCCAAAGAAGCCCCTGAGGCCCTGCATCCAGCTGAGCGGCAAGGCTGCGCCGGGTGGGCAGGAGGAGGCAGCAAACTCCTTCACACACAACAAGGTGAAGAAGAGGGTCTCGTTTGCTGATAGCAGAGGCTTCGCCCTGACGATGGTGAAGGTGTTCTCAGAGTTTGAAGACCCACTAGATATTCCTTTCCACATCACGGAGCTCATAGACAACATTGTGGGTCTGACAACGGCGGAGAGGGACAGCTTTGTCCTGGATTTTGTTCAGCCCTCTGTGGACTACCTGGACTTCAGAAACCGCCTCCAGGCAGACTGTGTCTGCCTTGAAAACTGTGTGCTAAAGGAGCGATCCGTTGTGGGAACAGTGAAGGTGAAGAACCTGGCTTTTGAAAAGACTGTGAAGATCAGGATGACGTTTGACACCTGGAAGAACTTTGTAGATTACCCGTGCCAGTATGTCAAGGATACGTACGGGGGGTCAGATCGGGACACCTTTTCCTTTGACATCAGCTTGCCCGAGGGAATTCAATCCCACGAAAGGGTCGAGTTTGCCATCTCCTTCGAGTGCAATGGGAAGGTGTACTGGGACAGCAACAGGGGCACAAACTACAGGATCGTACGGTCAGAACTGAAGTCTGCCCAGGAAGCCGCCTGCCCTCCGCAGGGCCCTGACTTCAGCAGTGCCTTTGACCAGTTTGGGAGCCCTCGCTGCTCCTACGGCCTCTTTCCTGAGTGGCCCAGCTATTCGGGCTATGAGAAGCTAGGGCCTTACTACTGACCCAAGGGCCAAGTCCTGAGGGACTAACTGTTGCTGGCGTGTCTGCAGGCCTGGGAGCTGGTCTGAACTGGAGGCGTATGGAAAGGTGGAAGAGGTATGGCTCCATGCATAAGCCTCCCAGCAAAACCAGATGTGCAGTCCTCTGCTGGCAGTGGGCTTATAGTCAGGGATGCATCTCTGGCATAGAGGGCTGCCTTCCCTGCCCCACCTCAGATAAGTGGCTCTCTGGATGCTCAAAGGACCAGGAGCTGTTGCTCATGTCTCTTCAGTGCTGCTACTCCTTCCCCCTCTATAAAGCTGCTAGTCTCCAGGGAAAAACTACAGTGCTTACTTATATCATCTGTCCAAGCTATGTAGCCGTGGCTGGTTTGTATTGCTTGCCTAGTGTTAAAAAGCTTTTTCAAAATATGTTCTAGTAGATTTTTGGGGGGGTTGTAGGTCAGCTGCAGGATTCTTCTTCCAAAGCTGACCCATGCCTGTTGGGAAATGGAGTCCTCTCCTTTCATGTGCCCTTGTAGTGTGAGGTCCTTCCTACTAGAGGCGGAAAGGGTGTTTTGGAAATGAAAATGCAACTGTGATGCCAGGAAGTGTGGTTGTGCAGCCTGCCATATTAGGAGGCCTGTGTGCCCGTGGGAGACGATCTGATCTGCTGAGTCACCAGTTGTTTTATCAGCTGATCTTGAAAAACTCTCCTTATACCCTTGATGTTACCAAAAATAGAGATGTGGTGCTTGTAACACAGATGTAGGTCGACAGCCACCTTCAAAACCTTCGTGCTTCTTTAGCTGCATGTGATCAAAGTTGCTTTTGCCTCCTGATGGACATTGGAAGTCAGCTGTTGGTCCTGCCAGACCCTGAAAATGCAGTTCTTTCTTCTGTGGACTGTAAAACAGGGTTTTGTCCATCTGGGACTCCTGACTCCTGTGTATGAGGCTGTGCCTAGGTGTTACTCTACAAGAACAAGCCACGCAGCTTCTCTATTCTGTGTCCTGTTATAAAGGAGGTGACTGTTGTGTACCTGCTGTGGTGGAAGTGCCTTGACTGAGAAGGGGGGTGGTACATGTGATCCCAGCAATGCTTTGGGATAAATGAGCTTTGGAAATGACACTGCTTTTTAAAAAAAGATCTTGTAATGGTTTGTTGCTCGGTGAGGAGCGTGAGAAGTGAGGTTATCCTGACACCACCATCCTTACCTTCAGAGAGGTGGCTTGTCTCCTGAGCCTGCACCAAGGTGAAGTGCCCAGCTTGTGCAGTGCCAAACAGCCTCACAAAGCTGCTTGTGTGTTGCTTGAGCAGAACAACTTCATCCCTCTGCTCAGAGGGAGAGTGCCAAATAGTTTGTAGAAATAGAGGTCAAGGGAATCTTACTTTTTCTAGTGCATAAACTTTATTTAATATTTTTTGGGTGCCTGTAATAGCCTATGGATGGGCTGGAAAGAAGCAATGGGCTAGAAAACTTAACTCTAAATCTAGCTTTTAATTCTGGAGACTACTGTGTAAAATAGAAGCTGTTTTACCCTAACCTAGAAGGATACTATGATCACTGTTGGATGCCAAAAGGGACAAGAATAGCTTGCAGGAAGAACAGCTAGCCTTCAACTGCTGCTTTTTCAAAACCTAGCACCAATGCCTGTGCTCACTAACTCCAGGTGGTAAATCTGCTTGTTGGCCCAGAGCTCATCAGGCTTGGTTCCTCTGTTCAAGCAGCTTCCCAAGTCAGCCCTTACCACCTGCATCTGGTCTCTCTCAAAGGGACTGTTGCCTAGATTGGCTTGAACCTGGTTTTAAACTTCAGGCAATTCTAAGTTACACTTTCTTATTTTTTTTTTTTAGTGTATTGTATTAATTCTGTAAGACACTGACTGTAGCAAAGTCATGTTCTCCTGGCATGCTGTCATGTCTATGGAGACCTGTTTGTTGGCCAAAATGGGGCATGTAAGTCTGGGGTGCTGTGCATGGTGGTATCTCCTTATGGGCCTGTTCATTTTCAGGCTGTGGATGGGGTGTGCTTAGGGAGAAACGTGGAAGATAAGCTAGAAGAGCAATGCTGTAAGTAAAAGCTAGGCTGGGGACTGACTATTTGACCAAGAGTGGCTTAAAAATACTACTTCTGGCCTTTCCCCTTTCCCCTTTTTCATTGCCAATGTGAACATAGAAGTGAGGCGTTGCTCTCCTCGCTCTATGCCTGGAAGTGCCTTGTGGGGTGTTTTGCATGTTTGTTTTTAAAAGATATTTTTGTACACAACATTCAAGCGGAAAATGCACTTTAATTGCCACGTAATGACTCTTTTAAAACTAGGGTTCTGTTTTTATCTGATTGTTAAAATAAAGGTGGAATTAAATCTTGGCCGCGTATCTTGCTGTCGTCTTCCTCAAACACCCGTGGGGCTGGGGAGGTGATCTGGACAAGGGACCAGCTTCCTGCCAGCAGCTGTTGGTGGGGAGGAGCACACGTCCACAGTGGATTCCTGCCTGAAACAGGAAAGAGCTGCCTGTTCCTGCTGCCTTCCTGCCAACACAAATGTGGAAAGCAGGGGAGGAGCCAGGCCCTTGTCGCAGTACTCTTTGTTTCCCCCACTAACCACAAGGCTCCTGAGCTGCTCCTCACACTCACCCTGCTTGCCGTGCCAGGCACAGCCTTTTCAAGTTGTTCTTGCATTTATTTCAGGTGGTCAGTCTCAGTCCTTCCACCTGGCTTGATCTGGGATCAGTGCTTGCTCCCTGCCAGGTATGGGGATGTGATGGTTGCTGGGAGAGAGCTTGCAGGGGGAGGGTCAAGCTCTCTTCTAATACCAGGATCAAGTGAAAACCAGACCCTTCTTCAGCTCAAACTAGCTGTTCCTGTTGTCACTGCAAGAAGAAGCACTGGCAGGAAGCATGCCCCTTTACAGAAAGGGAACAGCTCTGGTGTAAATGCTGACCAGGGCTAGTTTCAGGATTTGACCTGGTTTTGACCACAAAGACTAGGTCTTGGTGATGCCCTGGAGGTGTGTTTCAGACAACTACTGAGTTGGGTGGCCTTTTCCACTTAGAGATAAGGTAAGAAGGGAAGCTGGGGACAGGGAAGAAAAAGGACATGTGGTCATGGTGTGGGCTGGCTTGAGGGGCTGTGCAGGCTGTACTTCCCATCTTGCTACAAAGCCTTGCAGAGAGTGAGTTCAGCCCTTGCCTTATACAGAAATAAGTGAGCACCTTCTGCTTGGGGCTATTTCTGAGCCTCTCACTTTCAGAAGATGAACTATCTTTCCAAGGTGTTTTGCTTTCTGCAACAGCTGGGTAAAGTAAAGCTTTTGGTCTCCAGTTCCTTCCCACTGATCTTTGCATGAGGAAACCAAGCATGCTGACACAGTGGGGTGCAAGCACTGCCACCAAGTTGTGAACTGCTCCCCTTGACAGGTGTGTGGGATCTAGATGCACCTGGGTTTTAAAAGGGTATTGCATGATGCTCTCCTGCTGGGCTGTGGTGTTTCCTCCCCTGTGGCTCAGAGGAGCCTGTGCTGGCTGTCTCCTGCTGTTTGTGCCCAGAGGCCCTTCTGGCATTGTCTTTGTGGTGAGGTTCTTCCAAGGGTGGCAGATCTGCCAAAAGGCAGCTGAGAGAGGCTCTGCAGTAGGAGTGCTCAGATGCCAGGGAAAGGAGCAGCCCAGGCTGAGGGGTGTGATGAGGGGGAAAGTTAGGTCTGCATCCTGTTTTCACCTTGCATGGAATCCCCTGCCTGACAGCAGTTATGCCATGAGAAGGATGAGGCAAAGGGCCTTGCTTTCTTGGCAACCACTTTGCCACTACCCTTTCTCCCCAAATTCTTTGTCATCTCCACATCTAACTGCTGCTAAGAACCACTAAAAATGCTTCAGGTGTACCGTTGGGTGGGTTTGGGGTCTTTTTACTCCTGTTCTTTTAATGAAACACATCACAGATCTCTTTTAAAAGGTCACCTGATTGTTTTTCTGCTCGCAGAGGGGGAAAAACAAAAAAAACTCAAAGGTTTTTTTGCCCCTCCATCTGTCTCAGCACATGCTCAGGTGGTTTGGCCAGGGGGGCTTTCACATCAGAACACTGGCCCAAACTCATGAGTGAGACAACTGCATTCAGCAATTTCCTGTAACAGTTTTGTGGCCGAAAATCCTGTCAGACTACAGTTTCTGTTTGAGAGATAAGGAAGTCCATGCAAGCCTGCTAATGTCTGGGGCAGCCGAGGAGATGTGCAAGCATTTGAAGGGCCCAGACAGCATTTTGGTTTCCCTCCTAATGCCCAGGTGTTGCCTGCTAGAAGATACAGATGTTGCAATTGCTGCAGGTATAAAGCCCTTGGTGGCAAGTGTGGTTGTGCACTTGCTATTTAATAAACAAGGAATTCTTAGAGTGCTCCTGGCATCATCCCCAGCTTTTGCTCTGACATTCCCAAACCTCAGTATCCCGAGGCTTTTCAGTGCCATCTCTTGGCAGAGATAATTAAGCTGGGATGTTGTGTTTATCTCAGCCCAGGTGTTTGGAGGTTCAGGTTTCCTAAGTCTGTGCTTTAAACAAGCATGCTGGCTCTGCTGAGTGACTGCCCCCATGGCAGCCTCATCTAGAGCACGTTGGATTACAAGTTCTGGATGCAGTCACCCCAGCAGGATGTGGGCTCTGCAGACTCATTCTGGTGGAACAGGGTCAAAACTGTTTAACTAGCTTGTTAAAAGTACATCCAAGCAACTCAGGAAGAGCACAGCTGAGAGTCTTCCACTCTCTTCTCATGCTTACCAAGAGGGCCCTTACTGGGGAAGATGGGTGGCCAGAGTTGTCCCTAGCTTTGTCCAGTTTCCAGAGCAGGGCTAGCGATGGTCTGAAAAAGTTCAGACTTTGAGGCTGCTCATGTATTGAAGAAAGTAATTGAGTTCAGGTTTCAACTCATGCTTAGCTCATGGCTCTGCTTAATTAGAAAGTGATGCTCTGTTGCTAAGTAAGCACCAGACAACAGTATGAGCAGAGCTACAGCTGAGACATGAGCCTGAAGGTGAGGAGGTGATGAGCAAAATCAGAAGGAAATCCACGAGAGGCCAATTGCTTCCAAACCTAAAGAGGATGGTCCAGCCTGCTGTCTGTCCATGGCTCTGTACAGATGCTGTACAGGCA